TCACCAACATATCTTAATTCACTTTGACAAATAATACTTATATTGTGCAACAATTAGAAAGCTTATGGAAAATACCCAAACAAAGGCTTCATATAACAAGCTCAATCAGCTTCTAACCTACTGTTTTTCAAAAGCAAAGATCATTAAAACTAATTCTAGTTAGTCAAAAAGTATAATGAATAAAGTTACAAATATTGTTTTATATATACAACTAATAACTTCTCTATGCAAGTAAGTGCTAGACGAAGTAATTAAGCACCCAAATAAGTTCATATGATAATATATATAGACTTATAAAAAGAATACATGTACTTAACAAAACCTACAATCAAAATAAAAAGGGTTTAAGCTTATTTTTTGATGTAGATTAGGTTATGATCATTTCTATTAATGGTAGAGATTGGCTCTAATTCAATTAAAGCTCTCCCAATGAAATTAAGTAACTAAGCCTTATCCTTGAATATCACATGCTTGCATTTGCAAAAACACTTCATTTTGTGTTGACTAATATTTTGAAGGGGGGTGTTAAAGACATATGGCTTTTATATTCTACCACTCTACGTTCAAATGCTAACGAACTGTATTTTAAAAATAGGTTGATTATATTGATTTATCGCTGATATATTAGAATTTGGATCATGGCCGATACAATTTCTAAAAAAATTTATCATACGTCATTTTTGGCTAATTTGCACGATATATCGCTGTAAATCCGATAGTGGTCGATTTCTCATGGGCTAAAAATTGCCCAATTTTCTACAATTTACACATGTTCGGGTTTAGAAGCAAAACGCCTCTTTTTCCATACCTGACTCGCATCCATTAAACAAAAACCGTGCTATCCTATTCCATATCACATCCGCTCATCGTGTAACGCTAATTTTCTCTGCCTCCATTGTTCTCTCCCCCAAATTACTCACAAATTTCTCCCTCGAATACCTCTGTTGATGACCTCTCTCGAAGACCCTCTTTATATTTTATTAAATATGCTTAGATTACATTTTAGAATATTATATTATATACGCTCACCATCTAATATGACATTGATTTTTTTACTTCTTATCCCTAATATATTCCCGATAACCCGGATCCAATATGAATCTTGATCGTCCGATATATTTTTGATAAATGATAATTAAAACCTTGCTAACATGTGGCAACAATCTAAATTCTAGAGAGTTATTTAATCCTTATAATACATAAACATAATACTAATTTTATCAAAATTAAAATCTCATCCTTAGCCATTCAATAGCAATCAAATTAATAAATTTAACCTATCTAACTTAAGGATAGTAAGATATTATTACAAAATATAAGTGTTATTTGTCAAAGTGAATTATTAGTCATTCCATTACACTCGTATATTCCCTATGCGATGCACGGGCTAGTGGTTAATTATTTTCATATATATTTTAATTCTTATTCATTTTAATTTTATTTGTCTTTAATTTAATATTTTTTTATATGTTTGTATATTATTAAGATATATTATTGAAATAAAAATTTAATATTTTATTATTAGTTGTTGTAGTATTCTAATCTCCTTTGTTACTATTGCTTTAGAAATATTTATAAATAAGATAATGTATTAACAAATGTTAGTTGAATTAATAAATAGATGTATCAAATATAATATACTAACCACTGAATGACTGGACGTTGGTTTTTTTTTTGCCTGCTTCCCTTTTTTTGGATTTCAAACTTAACATATAAACATATATTATAAATTTACATTCTATTATTATAGAAAACTTTCTTAATTAAAACTAATATAATATTGATTTAATAAAATTCTGTTGAATAATACTTACTACCCTTGCTCCCCGTTTGTGCTTTAAGTGTTGATGTTGATGTTGATATTTATAGTAGGAGAATGTAGTATTTTATTTAATATTTCCTTTATTGGTATTAATTTATTTAATTCTCTAGATGTCACCCGTGACCTATGATCTTTCTTCCATCTCTAAGTTATTTATTGGTGAATGTGTTCAACTTAAAAAACTATTCATAGTCACTTCCTCTTTATTGTTTAAATTAATAATTTTGACCAACTTTTCAAAGATTTTATGCTAAAGTTGTCTATATATATGCCGCTACCTAACTCTATGTCCACTTTTGTAACATTGCACTACCAACAATTGATTCCTTATATTCCCTATATGAGGCGTGTCTTTTGTTTTACTTTCACAAAGTTTTATGCATCTTTGTGAATAGTTTTATATTCTTTCTCTTTTGTTTTTTAGTAGTTTGTTCATACGTTATTGGTAGCATTCTTGTAATTCCCTTATTGTTGCATAATATATTTAAAATTTTGCTAATTGTTCGTTGTTAATTCATTAATAAATCAAATCCAAGTTAATACATCAAACAAGTAATTCACCATCTATAAGCATAATGGAACATACAATATAGGAAATGAACGCCATCGAGTTTTTTAGATCTCTCCATTGAGAAAATATTACAAAATTGTCTTTGCACATATAAAATGTAACTAAAACTCAATAGAAGTAATAGATTCTTTAAGATTTTTGGCCCTAACGGACTTCAAACAAAGTAGAAACATCAGGAATACAGAGAGAAAGCTGATGGACGATAAAAGAAGAAGGTCAGTGTATATCCTAAGACATAATTTTCTCCTTCTAGAAAAAAATAAAACATTTAAATTAACAAGCACGAAAGGTTATGATTGAGTTGGGGAAACTAGCAATCAAGGTAGCACGGACACGGACATGAATACAGACACAGACAGGGCAAATTTGTAAAATGTAGGATACGAGGACACGGTATGTAATACATGCACATGATCAAATATTGAAAAAAACCAATAACATTTGCATATTTCTTTCTATAATCTATAACAACTAAGAATCAAGTTATATCAAACTAAGAATAAGATTTAACAATAAAAAGTTTTAGTTCTGATTGCATGGGAACTGCATGGGATAATACGACAGGTGGTTTTCAAATTTTAAGTAATGAGTTTTAGTTTTCGGGTTAAAAAACCAATTGGTTTTGAACCTAATATTACCAGAGAAACTAGTTTTGGGTATAAGTAATGAGGAAATAGGGAATTTCTTTGAACTACATGTGTCCATAGCGTGTCTGCAAAGAGTTCTGTGTTACCTACCCAGCAATTCATCTTATCAGATCCAAGTCATTAAATCAAACAAGTAATTCACCATCCATAAGCATAATGTAACATACAATATAGAAAATGTATTTAATCAAGTTTTTTGGACATTTCTTATTGGATTCAACTCTATATATCAATTTATTTTGAATTATGTTGACCCTCAAAGAGGGCATAACAATCTTATTGTTTGTTTGGGATGATCTACCACCCTAAAATTATCACAGCGGGTTCCCATCAATAACTGACATCATTATTTGTTTTCAGTGAAGGGGTTTTCTTCTTGAACGTCATGTGTACATACTGTCTAGCATGCACACATGAATCAGTCTGTATAAGCAAAACTATGCTAGTTTGAGTAATAATAGATTTCAAACTCAAAATAAAAGATATTTTTGGCTATTAATTTGTACCTACATGGCCTTTTGTTTATTTGAAGATACATCGATAGAAAGGTTTCACAAAAATGAAACAAATTAACACTCAACATTGATGAACATAACGCTTTCTCTCCCCAAAATTTATGTCACGGTAGTATAGCAGATCACAATATGTTTTCTTTTTGAAACCATAGGTTTCTAAGAAATGTCATTTGACCGATCCACGTTAGAGGTTGATAAATAGTTTATCACGATAAATCTTCACAACTCAGGAATAAAGCGAGCATATGACGAGAACGGCATTGTTCTAATGCTAAATGTTGACATGTAAAGGTGCTCTTTTCTCAATAGTCAAAGGAGATTAGCTTTAGGATGGAAGCTACAACAAAAGATGGTAATGGTAGCTTTATCAGCCAGTACTAGAGTGGGAGCAGAGGAGGCAGAGATGCCCATGTCAGTGGGGAGAGAGTTAGCAGGGTCTCTCGAATGCCTCCAAGAGGAGATGCCACAATGCCGGACTGAATTTGTTCTAGAGAGCAAGGAACGAAGGAGAGGGGGAGGGCAATGAGAGGGAGCGTACGGTGTTTACCCATGGAAGGCGTCATATAGATCCACAAGTGGCGAGTCAGCTCATTCTTGACCACTCAGTAGGGTGAACGAGAGTAGCTAAGGGGAAGTAACCATAGTCCGATAAAAAAGTTGCAGTCCACAAGCAGAAGGAAGCCAAAAGACAGATAGGCCCACAAACAGCCTAAGCACAAATTGGGGCAAGCAAGAAAATCTCTTCTTGAGGCTTGAGACAATAAAATTTGAATTAAAGAGCTGTTATGAGGGAGCACCAACATTAAACGTTCACAAATCAAAGGACACGAGATCCATCAGGAGCTACATGGGCATGTATTTGGGTGAAGGCCTTCAGCCATTGTCCTTAATAAAGGATCAGCCTTAGGAAAGGTGAGGTCAATCAACAACTGTGTATGCAACAATGGTTTTGTTACCAACCGACGTGGGCAGAGCAAGGTTCTGAGCAAGGGGGAGCTGAAGGTTTCCGTAAAGGGCAAGGAGGCAAACTCTTGTTAGAAGAGGGTGATTGGCATCCCGGAAGAAAAGAACCAGACGGTGACAATAGCCATACTTGCACGGGTGACTGTACAACCAACAACTTCCCCTGATCCACAATGAACATAATATGACTTGCTAGACGAGCTAGAACACAAATGTCTGAGACGTAGATCCCAAGGAATGTGTTGACGCTCTTCTGATGAGAACCACTCCATTGGCACCTACTAAGTACCCATTGAAAGTAGTAGCATCCTAATAGTAAAATAGCTATCTCTACCACTCAAGTGAAATTTTGTATAAATTTTGACCTTAATCACCAAAACATCACTAGAAACTCCTGCTACATAAGTCACCAGAAGCATACTAACTAATGTAAATGCTAACAAATCCCACATAAATTTAAAACAAAGTAACTCCAATATTACCTCTTCAACTTTCAATTTACCCACCACAACCTTCTCCTTGGTCTCCAACACGCCCTTCCTCAGAAGCAAACCCGTCGTCGCTGCCGGCCGACAGAATCCGTTCCTCACACCACAAGTCTCTCCCGGCGGCGTCGGCGCCTCTCCGCTGCCTCGATTCCCTAAGTAGGGCCCACCTGCTCTTCACCAGAGATCCCACCTTTTCCGCCGCCTCAGCAACATTTTCACCCGCAGAATGCCCTGCTTGCTTCAGCTTCACACCTAAAACCAAATCCTAGCATTTTCACACCAAAATTCTTCAATCAAGACAGAAAATCTAAAAGAGAACCAAGATTTTCGCCTAAACACCAGAAGTTGAGAAGAAATCGTTCGCCTTCGCCCGCCATCGGGGCGAGAGCTCGGGCGGCATCGCGGAGAGCGGCGGTCAAGTTGATGGAAACCCTAGCAAGACAACAGATCAAAATTCATCGAAAACTGAACGAAAATTCAAGTAAATTCGATTCGCGATTGATCAGAAACCCTAGAACGAGAGAAGTTTCGGGAGTACCTTAATTCTCTTCGCTCGGAGATGCGAGAAGTTTTCCGAACTGATTGCGAAAATGAAATCCAAGAAAGAATTCTACGGATTTGGATAAAGATGTGACGGCTCTCGGGTGACTCTAGCGAGTAGGAGGGTGACACGTGTACGGCGCCAGGAGAACGGGTCTCGGTCAACGAGAGTAGCCCTCAGAGACACGAGGAGCACGTTGATTCGAATGACGGCGCCGGCGTCTTAGCTACGCAACTGGCTTCCGTTATTTGATTGGACAACGCTCGGATGGTCCATTTGGATTGGGTCGGGTTCGGTGCGGTCGGGTCGGACTCGGGTCGGACGTGACTTGTTATGACCCGAATTTGCAGAGCACCGGTCTGACTTTTTCGACCTAGCCCAATCTATTCGTCAAGCGGGCCGGGTTGAAGATAATGCAGACCCGGTGGCAAGCCTATGTAGAAAATATGATTTCCCACCTCTCAATAGGAATTTGGGTGGCATTTGGTAACACGTCAGCTGAAGGTTTAAGAAGAGTTAAAAACTTTTTTTTCCCCCAAACGTAAAACCTAATATATAAATCAATCATCCTAAGTTTGTCGAAAGTAAAACTTACAAAAGAGCAAGATGATAAGCCTAGGCGGGTTAAAAGAAGTTAACCTTCAACATAAATTATTGGCAAATTTCATGGAGGTGTCTCATGTATCAGTCAAATATCATTTGGATGGATTCAGTTGGGTCCGGAACGTTCCTCTATTATCAGCTTCGGTCTGTTAACATGGGGATGACGTGACCTTGTTGTGTCAGCAAAAAAATAGTGAAATTCCAAGTTCAATACAAACTTATAAGTTCACTAATTTTTTATTGTATTGAACGTGTAACATTACTAATTTTTTGTTGACGTGACAGTGATACGGTGGGTCACATTATCATCACATCAATAATATTTAATAGGAGTTTGTAAAAAAAACATAGGCTGATGAAGAAAGTAACATTAAGGACCCTCACTGATAACTTACAAATATTAAAGACTCAAATGAAATTTGATCCACACATTAGAGACCTCTACTAAAGTTTTGCCTAAATTACTATTAAATTCATGTTGAAAATAACTTCCACTATCTAGAAAGAAATAGCATTTTTATCCTATTTGTTGTCGGCGAAGCCAAGAATATATCTACCTCACATTTCAATAAATCAAAGTATTTTTCAGAGAAAGAATATGCTCTCAAACTCGAAAATTACAACGTAATATTATATATTAAATGCTTGTTTACAAAAACGAAAAGAATAATCCCAATATCAAAAGTAGGGTAGAGCCAATGCAACTTAGCTCCCAAAAAAAATAATGACGTCAATCTTAAAAAACTGACATTTATAAAATATCCCGACGATTTGCCATTTTCTTTTCAAGAATTTATCAATGCGCTATTACAAAGTATAAAGGAAAAATTGTGTCAATGCCCCACATATGGGAAGCCTATGTGACCTGGCCCTCTGCATTTTGGGTCATGTGATTAAACCCCAAATACATGGTGTATTTGTGTTAAGATCCCAAAGTTGATGAGAGAGAGAAAAGCCTAGTTGAAGTTATAATCCCACCCTCTGATTTGACCAAACTCGGTAATTGCGTCCCCTCTCCACTCAAGTACTATCTCTCCCTCTTTCGTTTATATTGTTGAGGAGCCACTGAAAATTCCCAAACTCCATATCTGCCATCTCGAATTTCAATCTTGGGTTAGGGTTTTCACCGTGAAAATGTTGTCGAAGGAAGCATCGGTTAATGATTTTAAAGTCGTTCATCGCGGTGGACGGTAGGGGAAAGATGAAGCCAAATCACAGTCGTCAGACACACTTCGTGAATCATCTGGGAATGGAAGGGACGGCGAATACTGTGAATCGTCTGGGTTTGGAAGCACAGATGAAGCGTCGAAGGCCCTTTTCGTCATGCGAAGGGGTGAAGTATGAGGTTGAGGCCAATAAAAGAAGACCAGCAAGAGGGATGGTTCCAACGAATCCAACCCCAAAAAGAAGTAAGTGCTAGGTTTTTTTCTTAATTAAAGAACTTAACCCATTTGCATTATTTGTGAGAAAAATTAGAAAAAAAATAAGAAGAAATGTTATTAATTCTCCTAACTGACTTAGGAAAAGAACGAATACAATCTCTCTCTAACTGACTTAGAAAAAAGAAGTAACAATCTTCTTGATCGATTTCCCGATTTACAAAAATAGAGAAGGATGGATCTTCCTTTTTGTTTAATGTTAGGTTCTTCTTAGTGCTGATGGGAGTTTGATTCTTGTATCCCGTTGACGATCCGAACGCCTCATTTTGTGGAACTTTGTCTACTCTTCTTGACTTAACGTCGGGAAGAACTTGTCAGGCAAGTTTAGAACTCTAAACGAGTTTAAGAACTCTGCGAAAGAGTTAATTTCAGAAAAAAAATTTAATCATTTTTAACTAAAATAAGCTAAACAACCGATCTCAAAGTTCTTCAACCGAAAATGGTGTAAAAAGCCAACCCAAATGATCTCAAAAGCTCCAACAAAAGCCAAACCAAATGATCCAAAAAGGATCTTTATTCAGCTGAATTCTCAGCTATTTATAGATATCTAGGGGTATAAGTGACCTCATAAATCTCTCCATAATAGGGGCTGGGCTTAATGGCCCCATTATGTGGAAAACGGTTTTGAACCATTCAAATTGTCATTGAAACGGTCAAATGCGAGATTCGCATTCTGAAGCGAGCCTCGCGTTTAGCTTTGTGAAACGCGGAGGTGATCCTAGCGTTTTGGAGTTATAACGCGGGGGTGATCATCGCATTTTGGAGTTGGGACACTGGGGTGACCCTCGCGTTTTGGAGTTGGGACGCAGAACTCTCATTATTAATATTGGGGTTATGTTAGATGGACTAACTGCATATTTAGGTAACTTCCAATCAATTGTACCAATTTCTCTTAACTTCCAATCAATTGTACCAATTTCTCTTAATTTTTAGCAACTATATTGTAAGTTTCAGGCAACAATTCATTACATATCCATAGATAAAAGCTGCATGCGTATGTATCTCTGTGATATTTTCTTATTTTACGGGTCAACACTGCAGAGGGAAAGAACGTTATTCAATTAAGTAACAGGAACCAACTATTATCATCTAATTAATTATACTGCATATTTCTTATGTTAATAGCTACTCTTAGTTTAGAAAAATCTCATTATTTTACAACATATTATTTTCTACAAGTTCTTTAATAGCATCATCACTGATAATGATTTCAACTTGACAGGTTGCCTTCTTTCTAGATCCAAACCCTAATTGCGTAGTCGTGCTTGGAAAGTTGCTGCGGTGAGATGTCCTTCCCAAGGTCTCTCTCTCTCTCTCTCTCTCTCTCTCTCTCTCTCTCTCTCTCTCTCTCTTACTTAGAGTATATGTCTGCATGCATATGCGTGTCCGCATGTGTGTTTGTGTGCGTGGGACATAATGGATGTGTGTTAGCAACTCATTTGCTCAATGACCCACCAAGAGATAGCTATATGGTGAGGCTCACCTACAAGTTATATTAAAAGGAGTAAGCCTTATCGCTTCTATCTACTTTGGTCCCAAATCATTGAATGAATCAATAGCACACATACACGCATGTACACACGCACTCATCCATGTATGGACTAATGCACACGTACGGGTGCGCACACATCCACACACCCACGCCTGCACAGACCGAGCCACACACAAACCTGTACACATGCAAAGACCCCCAAAACAGGCACACCCATCCACAACCATACGTCTACCAAAACACGCATGTAGCCCTGCAGACAGCTATATCCCTACACATGTGCATCCATCCACACATGTTCACACTCATGCACACACAAACCTACTCGCATGCACCTACACATGTGCATGCTCACATGCATCTACACCCCACACATGCAGCGAATTATAAGGGGTTTTAAAAAAATAACCTTTAAAATAGACCAAATCGATAGGTACTATGTTATAAGCGAATTTAGCTTTCAATCAACCACCTAAGAACGAACTTTAGTTAGATTTTTACCCTAATTATTTGAAATACACTCATTCCTTCTCCCTTCTCCCTCCTTATCCACCCCAACTACCACCACCCACCTCCACCCTCCTCCCTTCTCCTCCTCATCCACTCTCATCCTCCTTCCATCCAAACCATGGTTGAGATGGGGGAGGAAGGAGGAGAACGAGGTAGGATGGAAGAGAAAGGAATGAGGGTGATGGAAGAGGAGGGAGGAAGGTGGAATTGAGGAGGGAGGAAGAGGGAGGAGATGTGTGGAGGAGGAGATAGGAGGGTAGATGGTGGAAGAAAAAACATGAGTGAATGAGGAGGGCGAAGATAGGACGGAGGAAAATTTTGTTTCAGTGGAGGTGTTGATAACCTGATGCAAATGATTAATTCCTGTGTTAGGAATTCAAAAATTCAGATGTCTGTTCTCTATCATGCTCTCTCCCCTGCATCAAATATAGTACCATGGCATAACACAATCTGGGAGGGAATATGCCATCCTAAGCACTTCTTTGTGAGCTGGTTAGCTGTGCAAAATAGACTGCATACTCAAGATAGACTTTTAGAAGGGGGGTAATTAACAGCAACATTTGCTGCATGTGTACAAGAGCTGAGGAGGAGAGCAGGGATCACTTGTTTTTTGATTGCTGCTACTCAAGAGAAGTCTGGTTTCTTGTGATGGACTGGCTGAAATTTATATGGAAATCTTGTGTGTGGAGTCACATTATGGATTGGTATTGTTACAATTTGAGAGGTAAGGGGTATAAACAAAAAATCAAGAGGATGGCTTTCTCTTCAACACTATATAGTATATGGATTGAGAGAAATAACAGGATCTTCAAGAACAAGTGCAAAAGTATCGATCTGTTGTTCAGAGAAATAAAGATCAACATGCTGTATATAGTCCTCAATAGTGCAAATTTAGTTAATGGAAGAGATTGGATACTGTCATTGTAATTGTATATAAACAATCTCAGGTTATGAGTATCTTGATGTACACTCATTTCATATTTGGTGAATGAATAAAGATTTTTCATTGACCAAAAAAAAGAAGAAGATAGGATGGAGGAGGAGGGCGTAGGTGGGATGGATGAGGAGGGAGAAGGAAGGAGGGTGGAGATGGGTGGGGATATTTTGGATAATTCGGATAAAAATTGAATAGAAATTCGCCTTTAGCTTGTTGTTAAAAAAAACTTCAAAGGTGGT